CCCCGAAAACTGGGGTGCGATGGAAGGGGCTGAGTCCCTTCAGAGGGGCACGTCAGGTGCTGCAGAGGGCCCTGGAGTGAGGCACAGGGGGCTGGAGGGTGAGTGCAAGAACGGTGCTCCATAGGGGCCGGGCAGGGGCCAAAGAGCCCCTGATCGGAACACAGGTGACCGAGAAAAGGAACACAGGGCCATACTTCATCAGAGCAGGCGAGGAGGAGTTGGGGCACACAGAGAGAAAAATGGGGATGTGGGAGTTTTCAGCACACAGGACTGATGCGGAGGCACACAGGGAGCCCGAAGCACAAAGAGTCCCAGACCGGTCCGTACCTCGTTGGAGTGAGTGCGGTTTTGGTGCTTGGCCCGGTCAGAAGCATTGGAGAAGGCCTTGTTGCAGCCCTCGTGTTCACACACGTAGGGCTTTTCACCCGTGTGCGAGCGCAGATGCGTCTTGAGGTTCTCCAGGCGTGAGTAGGCTTTGTTACAGCCCTCGAACTGCGCACACAAGCAGGGTGAAACATGCCACACACCTTCGACAGACCTGTAGCACATCACCCCCACACCACGCATCCTCGGCACATCCGCCGTGGACACGGATCACACCTCCCAACCAACATGCGACACACCCACCCTCCTCGAGGTGCATCTCCTCAGCCCACGGCACAGCCCTGACCCTCCCAGCCTGTGTCATGCCCCCTCTGTGCCCCCTGCGACATACCTCTCTACCTCCCTGCACCTCTGCCGTGCTACTGACCGCACAGGCTCTGGTCTGCCACGCACGACCCCCACTCTGTGACACACTACCGTGCTCCTGACCACCCTGTCCCGCTTCACTTTCCCCACTGCAGGTTCCCCTCACTGCCACACACCATATACCAGCCAGGCTAGCTCACACCCTGCCTCGAGCTCTGCCTGGCACGAGGCATCATGGCTCAGCCGAGGCTTTGCGAAGGTTGGTGCCAGCTCACCGTGCATTTGTGAGGTTTCTCGCCTGTGTGACGTCGCATGTGCACCACCAACATGTACTGAGCCTTGAAGGGCCTCTGCTCCCGGGAACATGCTGCCCAGTGGCATACGAACTCCTTCTTCTCCCCATGGATATGCTCATTGTTGATGTGCTGAGGAGAGAGGGGCATTGCTGGAGGCGTTTGGGAGGGCATCAAAGGTCAGGGAGATACAGAATTATCATGGGAGAAATGGACATAAAAGGACTGGGCTGGCAGGTGGAGACACCAGAGGTTAGGGGAAAACAGAGTGGTCAGATGGTGTCTAGAGGAGGTAGGGGATACAGGAGATGGCTGGAGGCTCTTTTGAGAGGACCGACACAAGACATAGAGATCAAGGCGGTCTGAGAGGTGGTAAAGTCTGAATGCACCAAGGGTGAGGAAGGCCAGACTGGATGCTCTCCCAAGGGACACGGTATGGGAGAGTCACGAAGAACTTGCCCACAAGAAGCGGCGGATGCATGCCCCACCCTGCCTAGGGGCAATTTCCAACATCATGCACCTGTGTGATGAGTTCTCAGGGCAGGTGAGGTGGAGGGGAGCAGGCTAGCATAGGACAGTCTTAGAGTAGTGGTCATGGGTTGACACAGGGGGATGTCAGCCAGCAGCCTGAGGGCAGGTTCTGGGACTGAGGGTACCCAGACGGGACACAACTCACATGCACCAGCTGCTCCTGCGTATCGAACTCCTTGGCGCAGCCATCCCAGTAGCAATTGGTTTCGTACACAGTCTCAGACTCAGGTTTCCCATCCTCCTTCTCCAGATCTTCCCGAACATCGAGCATCCCCAGCAAGGGGTCCTGGGGGAGCACAGCCAGATGAGCACTCCCAGGTACAACCCTTTGTGTTCCCTGTTACTGGGAGCAGTGCAGAGCCCTGGGGAAATCAGGAGGTCTCAAGGCCTGGGGAGTACCTGGGTGCCTGTGGAAGCTGGACTGGAGATGTTGCCCTCGGATCTCTCCTCTGGATATTTGACAGTCAGAGGGCTCCTCAGGCTCCACTCCAACTTTAGCTGCTACCAGGGCAGGGGGAAAGTGGAAAGCAGTCAGCACGAAGATGCCCACTGGACCACCGCTTATATGGATGCAAGGTGCCCTTACCTGGCAGTGTTTGAGGGTCCCATGATCTGGGGCGTGGTGCAGGAGCCCTGGGCAGGTGGACAGGTGTTCATGGGAGCTACATGGAGGAGGGGCAGGGGTGTGGCTGTACAGGTGGCCTTGGCCCTTCTGCTGACCCGGTGGACTCTGGTACTCCAGTGACGGACTGCAAAGAGCAAGAGGGATGAGCAGATGACACCATCAGAGGACAGAAATTTAGGTCTTTTGAGCCAGGGATCCCAGGTGTCTGAACTCCCAGCCGCTCCTCCATAACCCACCAACCCACTCTGCTCCTGCCTTCCCTAGCCCTCACCCCAGGCACTCCCCAAGTTGAGAATCTGCATTCAGGCTCCCAGACTGACAGGCTGCATGCATGCCAGCGGGGATGAAGTCTGGTGCCCACCTGATGGTGCTGATGGAGAGGTGGCCATAGGAGCCGCAGCGGGAGTTGATGAACGCAACGAGGGAGTTGGGTGAGGTGCGGATTACCGTCTGCAGGTCAATGCTAGAGTCTGACAGGGGTGAGATGGACAGTGCCCGCTTCTTGCCCAGTTTGCCTGCACCACGGGGCGTTGAGAACCGTGAGCCTGGGATGGCAGCAGAGAGTGGGGGCACTCCTCTCAGCATGGGTCCTAGGAGGCTGAAGAAACCCCCAAGGACACAAGCCTGGTGCCTTGAAGCCTGGAAGAGCACTCTGAGTGTGCTGGTTAGCTTCTGATTTAGAATATAATAGAACAGAGTAGGATAGGATAGGATAGGATAGGATAGGATAGGATAGGATAGGATAGGATAGGATAGGATAGGATAGGATAGGATAGGATAGGATAGGATAGGATAGGATAGGATAGGATAGGATAGGATAGGATAGGATAGGACAGGACAGGACAGAGCAGAATAATTTCAGTCGGAAGGGACCTACAATGATCATCTAGTCCAACTGCCTGACCAATTCGGGGCTGACCAAAAGTCAAACCAGGTTATTAAGGGCATTGTCCAACTACCTCTTCAACACTGACAGGCATAGGGCATCAACCACCTCTCTAGGAAGCCTGTTCTAGTGTTTGACCACCCTCTCAGTAAAGAAATGCTTCCTAATGTCCAGTCTAAACCTCCCCTGGCACAGCTTTGAGCCATTCCCACGTGCCCTATCACTGGATAACAGGGAGAAGAGATCAGCACCTCCCTCTCCACGTCCCCTCCTCAGGAAGCTGTAGAGAGCAATGAGGTCACCCCTCAGCCTCCTTTTCTCCAAACCACACTTACCCAAAGTCCTCAGCTGCTCCTCAGAGGACATGACTTCCAGCCCTTTCACCAGCTTTGTTGCCCTCCTCTGGACGCATCTGAGTACCTTAACATCCTTCTTAAATGGCAGGGCTCAGAACTGCACGCAGTACTCAAGGTGAGGCTGCACCAGAGCTGAGTACAGCAGGATAATCACCTCTTTTGACTGGCTGGTTATCCTGGGTTTGATGCGTCCCAGGGTGCGGTTTGCCCTCTTGCCTGCGAGGGCACACTGCAGGCTCCTATTGAGCCTGATGCCAACCAGCACGCCGAGGCCTTTCTGCAGAGCTGCT